TGGCATGTGGTGCTGGGGGATTGAACCGCGGTCCCTGATGCTTTGCCAAGCTTGTTCTAAGTAGGTGCCTTAGACCACTGAGCCATCTCTCCAGCCCCTCTTCCTGAATTCTTAATTGATTGGGTGGAAGGCATTGTGAGGGGAAATGTGTACTATATTCAACTAACATTTGACTTTAATATGTGCTGAATAATAGGAAAATTCCAGTTACTTGGAACAATATGTGCATTTAAAACTCATTTTTATTTTCGGGTATATGCATTTTTAGTTTTTAAAATATATACATGAAGCTTTAGAAAAAGCAAGTGCTAGTTGGTTCTACTGAGCTAAAAGTCACCTGTGTAAACACTTCTTTCTTGTCTTTTTTAGGAAGAAATGAAGAATATCTTTATCCTTCAGGTCAGTGGGATGTAGCTATAATCTGACATGTCATTGTTTATGGAATTTCAAGCTGTAAAATAATGCTCCATTTTTTTTTTTTTACTTTGGCTGTTTCTTATAGAGCCTGATTATGAAACTTCAGGTATATATAACACAACTGCATCTACAGCAAACATGGTAGGTATTTAATAATAGTAAGCACTTTTTGTAGGTAAAATGGGTGCACCTAGAGATCATACTCATAAGTAAATCAGACCTGCATGTGTAAATACCATATTGTCTTGCTAATGTAAGAACCTGAAAGAGTAAATAAAATCTGAGATACTACAAAAGAATCTGTTGAAAGGGACAAAAGAATGAAGTAAAAAAGGATACATTTATGTATATATTATATATCCAGGATAGCTTGGATTATTGTAGTACTGATTTATACTGGTCTGTGGAAAGGAGCATTTAATGCTTAAATTCTTTTTCTCCTTTTTAATGTTTTATAATTTTTTAACCGATTTTGCATACTTTGTCTGGAAATCTGGACAGCTAATTTGAATGGAGCAATATGCAGTAACCATTTTTGCTTAATGAAGTTCTGTATTGTTTGCTATCTTTTTTATTCTCTAAAAAATAGTAAACATTGTTACAGACTGGGGCTCTCTCTTCTAAGAGCTGTATGTATAAATGTGTCTAAATAAAGCAGTCCTATGAGGTAATTAGTCTAGTTCCCATTTTATAGATGAAATTGAAACTAACTCTTTAATTTTTTCTCTTTGAGATATGGTCTTGTTATGCAGTTCAGGCTGGCCTTGAACTCTGCAGTAATCTTCCTGCATCAGTTAAGGTCATACTCCTTTTATGAAATTAAAATTTGAGAGATATTCCTAATATGTGTTGGTATAAGATGATCAAGAGGAATTCCGACTTTAATGATCTTTTAGAGAATATTAGAATTTTTATATCTGTCATAATGGATCCTAAATTGCACTAACTGTAACAAAAGTTTGCTTCTTATATATCTAATCAAGAGATCTGCAGGACTCAGCTACTTTGGCTGATGTAGACTCCATCATTGACAAGACAAGAAATAAAAGGTGATAAATTGCACACTGGTTCTTAAAACTTTTACCAGAGGTGTCATTTGTTACATCTCCTTTCCGCTGAGCCACAGCAGGTCCCACTGAAGATGTTGTAACTTCTTTGTGCCTGAAAGACAAAAGATTGGAAATAGTGTTGCAGTAAGAACTACAATATTCAATTTGATCTCACTCCCATGGGCAGAAAACTGGTTTCTTTTCTACCCTAAAGGTGGAAACCCAAAACTCACAATATAATCAAACTCTAAACCAGGGTTTCTTTGTCATATGTAGAGCTCTTTAATTTTTTCTTTTTGAGATATGGTCTTGTTATGCAGTTCGGGCTGGCCTTGAATTCTGCAGTGATCCTCCTGCATCAGCCTCCCGAGTGCTGGGATTACAGTTGTGCACCACCATGCACTGCTGGAACTCTTTATATTGGGTTTCTATATGTGGCTTCTCTTGATCTTGAGGCACAAACCCTAAAATGCAGATTTTCCCCACCCCATCTTCAGATTTTCATTGGTAGAACAGGGCATGAAAAGTTGTAGTAAAATTCCTATGGAAGATGGGAGAAACAGTGTCGTAATGCACTTTAGCATTTCTCAGGTCAGTATGACCATATACTATGAGGGCCCCCAAGCTATACTTGGAGGCTATTCTCTGGCTTCTTATTGCCTGGGGCTTTTGGTTACTCTTAACACCCTTTTTGGGACGTATTTGAAGTAGGTATTAGAGATTAATCCTTCCTTGGTAACTGAATGAATTTCTTACTGTGTTTCTTAGAGATTGAGGGACCCAAGTATTGGTCTCTTTTACTTGAGTGGTTTTAGTTTTGGCATATGATTTTTTGGCTGTGAAATTTAATTTTAAAGATCCTCTGCTTGATTTCTGGTGGTTTCATATAGCAATAGCCAGACAGACAATTCTTTTTCTATAGATTTTGCTACATAGATTTGATATAATTATTTGCTTTCTTATCCTTGTATTCTTTCTACTTGATTGAAAGTACCATGAGCCTATTGACCATTTCTGTAAGAGCCATACCCTTTGGACACTTACCTGAGGTATTTTGTCCAAGTATATAAGGATGTCACTGGCTAACATTTCCTTTTTTTTGAGGTGGGGCGGAACTAGGGATTGAACTCGATAGTTGTTTCCTGTGTTGAATTCTTGCTTTGAGACAACTTCAAGCCCTCAGGAGTTTTAACAGTTGATTCATGCTAGGAAGCTGAGTTCTGATTTTTATCCTCAATGTATTAATTTTATTTTGTACAGTTTAGGTTGAAATAATTGCTGTTTAAGTCCCTGTATAGAAGGATTCTCTATTCCCTTTCATTCCTGCATACAAACTACTAAATATTTCCTATACAAGTCTATCTCAAAAGACCTTGCTGTATTCTGATGATAGTAATCAAAACACAGTACAGTAGTAACTTTGGATTTGCTAAACCAGTCCACGTCATGGTCTTTTTCCCAGTTAGGTTTTTGTTACCACAGCACCCTGCTTCTAACATAGATACACTAACAACCCACCAAAAAGTTCTTACTAGTGTTACACCTATGTCTAGTGCCGGTTGATAGAGGGCTCCTGTTCATCATAGTCACTCAGACTGGGCTGATGGACACATTTTCACAGTCACCTTTGTAAGGTGAAAGGAAATGGCACATTAACTGTCAACATTTTTGCCCATGTTTTACTGTCTAAACGATTCACGTGGCTGTATCTCACTTCATATGGAACTGAGGAGGGCATTGCTACCATGTATGTGGGAGAAACAGAACCTTAGTGTGCTTTGTCACTCAGTTACATGCTTGATCTTTTTGTCTTTTGTGAGACAGGTCTTACTGAGTTGCTGAGACTGGCTTCAAGCTTGCTACTATATTGCCTCAGCCTCCCAGATAGCTGGAATTGTAGGCATATGCCACCACACCTGTCTTGAACTCAAATATTTGTGGAAAGACTTGACTAATTGTTCGGTTATTCTGTATTCTCTTGTCATTAATATTTTCTTATTAATCTTAATATTAGCTAGCAGCTTCATGTGCTAAATTTTTGGTTTTATTGTTAAGAGAAACGTTAGAAAATGAAACTGATATGTAATTCTTACTCCCCCTCTTTCTGCTTCCCTTTTTTTTCATCTCAAAGTGTTTTAGTCTTCTCTACCACTACTTTTGTCATATCCCATGCTTTTTTTTAGTACCTCTTGAAATAGCCTTCCAAGTCAAAAGGCAAGTAAAAATCTCAGCATTAGAGAAATGAAAGTGAATGTCTTCTTGTCACTTTTACTTATATGTTCCATTTTGCTCTTGAATTTACTTTACATGTACTTCAAATAGCTTTCAGTCTTCATGATATGTTCTACTTCCACCCCTAGTCAACTTCTGCTGCTATGGTTTTTGTTGCCACAACATCTCATATACTTAAGTCTGAGCCTTTAAAATCTCCATATTTACAAACACAGGGTCTTGAACCATTAGGGAATGGTATTTTGATCCTAACTACATCTGTTACATCCCTTTTATAGCATATACCCAAACAGCCTGTTAACCCACTGTTGTCCCTATCTGCATCTTCACATAGATGGTATTCTTGTAGCAAAATTACTGTTGGTCTTACTGTGTTTGAAGGTTTTTAAGGCAAAAAAAGCTACTGAGTAAATCTTTAAATTTTATTCCTTAGTTGTATTTTAGTATCTCTACTGGAGCTATAGTTAAATGTGAGGAGGATCTGTGTATATAGGTAACAGTAGTTACATAAATCAGAAACTAGGGTTAATACCTTTTGGAGCATTGTCTTAGTCACTTCCAAACCTGAATGTCAAGAGATCACTTTTATTTTCAGATGTTAAAGCATGTAATTTATTGATTTGTAGTTTTGTTTCTTGGTTTTCCTCCATTCACCTATATTCTGTATCCATTAAAGTCTCTTCAAGATGGAAGACCTTGTTCTGTGTCTCCAAAGCACACAGTTACCTCATATAACTACCACCAGAAGGTACTCCTTGTAGTATGACCAGTCATTTACAAGTGGTCTAAAAGAGGAAAATGAATTTTCTCATTTTTTAATCATTTCTCCATGTAGTATTATATCTTCTGGTATCTGCCAAACTGATTAAAAAAGTCATTCAACAAAATTGATTAAGCATCTCCTGTTTCAGACATTATTCAGTATGCTGACATTCGTTTATATATATATTTCCCCATGTTAACACATTTTTAAATAGAAAAGATGCATTGCATTTGTGTAACTTTATAAAACTCGAATTTCTTTAGAACATAGAACATGGGGGTTGAACTCAGGCCCTTGTGTTTGCCAGGCAAGTGCTTATTCTACTGAGCCATCTCCCTGGCATTAAGTCTACTGTTAACAACTTATGTGAGTGAGTTAATATTCAATTACCTGTCACTGCTAAAAGGTATCTGAAATCACAGAGTAATATTATGCTAGTAAGGGAAAGTGCTGCAAAGAACATTTAGAAAAGAGCTCTAGAAGAGAGCTTGTGGATCACTAACTTTCATAAAAGGGATAGGAAAGGAGTGGTCAAGGAGAGAAGAAAAACAGGAGAGTATAATACGGTTGTTTCATGAAGAGGATGTTTCAAGGACCAGTCAAGTGTTGGTGGTTACCAAAGGTCAAGCAGCATAAACATTAAGCAGTCTGCTATGATTTACTGCCATGGAAACTGCTGGTGACTTTGGATGCAGTTTCACAGGACCAGAATAGGTACCAGCCACACTACCATGGATGGTTAGGAAATAGAGACTGCCACTGAGGAGAGTGTTATTATCAAGTTGTATTTATTATCTTTGTGCACAGTCCTATATTGTGTGCTGTGAGAAAGTAGTCTGTTCTTCTAACACGTTTTGGCCTAAACAGAAAGAAATTAAGAGTTTTATGAAGTTACAAAAATGTGAAGCACCTTTTCTATTTAAAAAATGTGTTAACGTGGGGAAATATATATATATCATCTTTGGAATACTGTGTAGGAAACTCAGAGGTTACCTCCTTGGAAAGAAGACAGGCAGATGAAGGACAGAGTTGGAGGGAACCTTTTTATTGTTACAATTTAATGCTCTATTTGTGAATCATATTAATGTACTCTCAGAATAACATTAAAGGGGCCAGGGAGATAGTTCAGTAGAATAAACGCTTGCCTGACAAGTGCAAGGGCCAATCCCCAGTTCCACAAAAAAAAAAAAAAGAAAAAAGTTGTCAAAGTAATCTGAGGTCTTTTCACATAACTGTGTGCCAGAGTTTACATAAAGATGGACTTGGCAATATATTAGTTATTAAAACAAAGTATTTCTAAAATTTAAGATGTGATAAGAAACTAACACTGTTTGAGAAACCAAACTGAAAGAATTCTGAACTTTCTTCATACTTACAGATGATGGGAAATTCTCCAGTAGTTGCAGCTTCCTGTGCCAGTGATGTTCCAGCTCCAGTCTTACCTAACTGTGGAGCAGCTAATCAAGCGAGTGGTACTCCGCCAGTTTCCTCGCAGAATGCTATACAGCCTCTATTTGTACCTCCTCCAACACAGCCCAGGCCAGGTAGGGTTTTAATGGTTGCATACTTTTAAAAATTTTTTATTTTTATTTTTGACGGAACCGGGGATTGAACTCAGGTCCTTGCGCTTGTCAGGGAAGTGCTTATTCCACTGAACCATCTTCCCGTCCCCGGTTGCATACTTTGGATGCTGCTTTTTCTGTTCATAAATATGCACTTGTAACTGTTCTAGTGATTAGGATGGATTTCTTTAATTATCAGATTCAAGTTTATTTGACTTATCCTGTTGAAAAAAATCACAGATTTTGAAACAGAATTTTGACTTTTTTTTTTCCTGTTAATTTGTTTATTTTTGATTTTAGGGAAGGGTCTATAGGGTGTTCAGGGTCTCACTACTAGATCAGACTTGTAGTGATCTGCCTGTTTACAGACTCCCAAGAGCTGGGATTACAGGCATGCGCCACCACGCCCAGTCTCAATTGCCATCTCAGCGGGCACCAGGGGCAGGTCTGGCATGGCAGGCCCAGGGATTGAACCCCCGGCCCCTGCCCCTGCTTGCAAGTGCTTTAATCTGCTGAGCTACTTGGCTGGCCCAAGGCATATTTATTTATTTTCCTGTTAATTTGGCTTTGGTAAGCTTTTGTTTCTGTCATTTCCTACCACTGATTATTTAGAGCACTTATAAAAGTTTCTATTAAGTTTTATAAGAATTAACAGGACCAAGGGTACAGTTCAGTGGCATAAATGCCTGCATGGCAAGTGCAAGGTCCTGAGTTTGATCCCTGGTACCACACACAGACACAGACACAGACACACAAAAAACCCAGATAATTTCTTTATAGAATGAATTTTGGAAAAGCTTTCTGTAAAGCATTCCTATGTAATGAATCATTGTCTTCTGAATATCATAATAAAGGTATTAGGCTCTAGAATTTAGGTTAGAATATTGGATATTGAATCTAAGGCCATTGTACTAAGCTACATCCCCAGCTCCTTTGTTTTTGTTTTTATTTTTACTGTGAGACAAGGTCTTACTAAGTTGCTAAGTTGCTCAGGCTGGGTTCAAACTTGTAGTCCTTCTGCCTTAGCCTGTAAGTGATGAGATTATAGGCATGAATGACCAATCACAGCTTAGAAAACTTCTTGGTGTTTTTTTTTTTTTTTTTTTTTTTTTTACAATTTACTACTTCGGAAATTTTGGACAAGTTATGAACTTAATCTATGTGCTTGAGAGTAGTGATAGTACCAATTTATAAAGTAATTGTGGAATTTTAACAAGTTAATATAATTTAAAATTTTTAGGACAATTCTGTGAAGACTGTAGCAAGAACAGTATAAATTTTTAATCTGAGTTCCCAAATAAAAACAGAAATTACAAAATCCATAGACAACACCTGTTAAGAAAAGTTAGATGACATAGTATCTTTACAGATCCCCAAATTTAAGTAGTGACAAAACACCATGCACAAGAATTGCGTGCTATCACGTATGTGTGGGAGCAAGAAGGTAGAAATTCCTGGGTTGTTGCCTTATGGATCCAAGAATAGGAGAACTCTATTTAAAAGAGCTAATCAGAAATCACTGGCAAGTGAGGCAACCCATCTGCAAGCAGCAGCTAAATGGAAGGAATTTGATTTCTCCAATAATAGGTGCTTGAATGAGGTACTTGGTAGATTGGCTGGAGGACTTAGAGATAGATAATCCCGAAGACTGCTCAAAACTGATCTACCAGGGCTGCCGTTCAGGATAGTATGTTTCTCCAGGGAGAGATTGCTGGGAGTCAGAATTGATCAGAATGAGGGCAATAGAAGTCTCATTTAAGCTAAGACAGAATCGCGGCATTGTAGAATACTCATGTTTTCTAGTACTTCACAAAAGTTACAAGCTGTATGAAATTAGAAAAATGACCTTGTAGCCCTATCTCATTTGAAATTTCATGAAAACTAATTGTACATAAAAGTAAACAAAATTGAAAACATTGAGGTCAAATGCTCTGTACTGACACTTTAAGGTGAAAAGAGCAAAATAATATCCCTACAAAAAGAAGCTCAGCAAACCTAAAACTGTAGCATACTATTTTAAAAGGAGGTAAAGATATTAATACAAGAATTAAAAATATTAACATTACTGTCAGCTTAAATCAGTGGTGGTATGTGCATGACTCTCACTAGGTGGCTATTTATTTTATCAGTACATGTATGGCTGTTCCATTGGACAGCCTTTTATTTTATTAGTAAAAAGACCAGTAAAAGTGATTAGATCTTTCTGTACCACCAGTCGTACAATCTGCCTGTGGTTCAAGCCGCTGAGCAGCAAGACAAAAGAAATAGGGCCTTTTCATGAAAGGTGCTAAAGAATAATGTAAGTCAGAATTAAAAATAAAACTCATATGAGGTGACAACTCTGGAACAAGAAAGGCAAGTCAACCTAGTAATGAAGACTAAAAATAAAAGCCTGAGAAAATATATGCAACAGATTAAAAACATGAGTCCAGAATTGAAAAAGTCAGATTCAAAAGTGACCACAGTAAAGTTAGCCAAAGGAAACCAAATCCAAATATAAGTCCCTGAAGAAAAAAGCTGAATGGAACCCAACAAGCTAAAAGCTATAGTTTAGGAATCTACCTGAACTGTTAAAAGCCCTTAAAGTTCATACTGAAACAGTACCCAGCATACTTGAGATCACTGATCAGAGCAGCCAGCTCAAGGATGTTCTAGTAGTATTACTAGACTATGAAGAAAAAGTCCTTTGACTTTTTAAATTCCTAAATAGTAAAGAATTGTAGAACATAGAATAATTAAATTGTCAGCCTAAACTTTTTAGTTCCTGAATCACAGTGGTTTCATGGCCAAGTGTTCATTCAAATCTACATGTGGCTAGTAGCTTCTGTATTAGACAGCATAGAGAATACTTGTGCCATCACAGAAAGTTGTAATGGACAGCAGTATATTAGAGAATGATCTCTGAGTTTCTGTCTCCAAAAACAATTGCAAACATTAGCCTGAGACCTATATAAGTATTAAATACATAGTTAACTGTACATTAAGACAAAAGGAAAATAAAAAGTTTGAGAAAGTACTGTGCAATAACCTTACATTTGGAGAAGGATCTTATAAAAATGGAAAAATTGATAGACGTATATGCCAGGCATCTTTTAATGCTTTTAGTAATTACATTTGGTTTCTTGATGTCCACAGCACCCGGTTTTTGTGGTCTTCAGATACCACCTATCATTTAAAAATATAAATAGCTTGTGAAGGCATTTCTGATTTCAGTTTCCTGGATAGGAAATGTTCAAGATGAATGTAGAGCCTCTTGTCAACAGCAAGGAAGCTGAGAGTTCTTGCATCATGTCACAAGACTCAGATACCATCTTGAAGAGATTTCCTCTGGCTAAATATGAGACAGTTTGAACGTCAGCAGTGAAAAGTTGTAGATTGGAACATTGCAAATATGTGAAATTTAAAATTTTGTAAAGATACTTTAAAAAGAGAATGATAGGAAAACAATTACTTTTCTTAAAAACTGGAAGATAAAAAAAAGATATCATGCCTTTATTATATGTACTATACCACTAAGTAATGAAATAGTACTATTTTATTTTCTTTTTGTTGTTGTAGATGAGGAAAAATGGCTTTTATTTTAGTATTCTAACTTCACTGAAAAAAGTGACAGTATAGTAACTTTGCAGTCTTTTTTTTTTGATGGATAGACATTAAATATTAGTAGTTAAGGGGCCAGGGAGATGGCTCAGTAGGATAAGTGCTTCCCTGGCAAGCACAGGTTCTTGAGTGCTTCCCTGGCAAGCACAGGTTCTTGAGTTCAATCCCCAGTTCTGCCAGAAAAAAAATATTAATAGTTAAAGAGTGTGCTATAGATTCGAATGTGACTATACCCTTAAAGGTCTCTATGTTGAAACATTCTCCATGATAGTACTTTTGCGAGATTACAGAATCTTTAAGCTAGATCCTAGGGAGTCATTTTAGACTTTGTTGGGGTATTCCTCTGTAGGGAACTAGTGGGATATACTCACCCGTCCATTCTCCCTCTTTCCTTGTTTCTGGGCTGCCTTGAGGTTCATGAAAGCTCCCTTAACCACTCACCCTCATCATGATGCACTGACTACAGGCCTGAAAAACAGTGGGGCAGCTAGATCAAAATTATGAGCCAGAGTAACTTCTTTTTATAACCTCATTACCTCAGGAGTATTACATTATCCAGGAAGTCTCACTTAACACAGATTGCAAAGATAGACACTACTCCCCTTGTATGTGCCAAAGGGATCAGTCCTGAGTCTGATTCAGCTTCCTGGATAAAGCTGCCTATTAGGAAACAAGTTCAAGTAGACCATGAGTATATATTCAGCCAGCTGAGAGGCTTGGCAAAAGGTTTATTATAATAACATGCATGCATTTATAAGGAATATGAATTCAGGTAGACTAATCTCTAAATTCCTTTTACCTTTAATTCTCTCAGGCCTGTGAGTTTATTTAGCTATCTTTATGTCTACTAGTTGGTTTTTACCTAGTGATCATAATTACATTTGCTATTTTCAACTAATTGACTTTATTTCACTGGCCTTTTTAAAAATGTGATTTGAGTGAGTTCTGGTTTTAATGTAGGGATTTCTTAAAGTCATCTTACAAAAAATTCATAGATTTACAGTATTGATATTCTGAAAATTCTTCCACCCCAGTGTGGTGGCACATGTTTGTAGTTCATCTACGTAAGAAGGTAAAGCAGGCACATAACATGTTTCAGACCTGGATTATTTAGCAAGAGTCTTAAAGAAATAGGGCTGATAATGTTTGGTGCTTCATAAGCTGAATCAAAATAAAATCATTTCATCACATCCTAAGTATTACTGGTCACATTTTAGGTCACTGTAAGACAAATCTCCTATTATTGCCCTATAACTGTCTAAATAAAACCAAGTATAGTGATGTATGCATGTAACCCAATCATGTACACTGTAGGTTGAGCTGGACAATCACAAATTTGAGGCTAGCTTGGGCAACCTTAGACCCTTTCTGACATTTTTTATAGGGGGTTGTTGCTGGGGATGTATGAAACTCAGTGTTAGAGCACACTTAGGTTCCCTTCTTAATAATACCAAAAAAACCAGCATAGACGAATATATTATTAGTATTTGTCAGTGAATGAAAACACTGTATTTCTTCTAAATAACCAAAATAATACAGCTAGTGTGGACTGCTGCATTAAACTCAATATATTAAGACTAACCTTTTATTGAATTAAGAGAATTTTTTTTTTGTGGAACCAGGGATTGAACTCGGGCCCTTGCACTCGCCAGGCAAGTGCTTATTCTACTGAGCCATCTCCCCGGCCCAAGAGAACTTTTTATACTGACTACTGTTAAAATTTTTATTTAGATAACAGGGATAAAATTTCATCCTTAACTCTCTAAATTGGCTGAAATGATTTAGTTAAACTTGAGGGGTTGCATCATTCATCAAAAAGTTCAACAAATTTAAGTGACTTGTGTGTGTATTTTTGCTCAGTTTACTATATAAACGTGATTATATTTTAATTTCATTTACTAGAAACTGAAACTCTTGAGTATTGTTTTTACACTATAGTCAGTGAGTATAGTAAGTTAAACTGATAAAATACTGTATCTAACCTGTTTAGATTTTATATCTCCTTAAAAATGGAATAGTCATAATTTAGAATTCCTTGTATTCCTTAAATGTTACTAATAGAATCTTTCAAGGACTGCTAAAATCTGTAATCACTGATTTAGTTCATCTCTTACTAGCTTGTGCACATGGGATTTAACTCGCATATTGCTGAAAACATCTTTAATTTGCAGTGGGTATTGAGCTAAATGACCTTCTGTGTTAAGTCAAGCCATGAGAATCGGGTTCTCTGATCATATTAAGGACATGAAAGGAGCAGATAAACTGTAGCTTACTTACAAGGTGTTGCAGTTTGCATTGCTACTGTGTTTTGTTTCTCTGTTAGTGATTGCTTCACCATCTTATCAATGCCATTCTGCTGCTGTTCCTGCTGCTGCAGGCTTTCTCCCATCGCCAACTCAATCTCTACCACCACCACCACCACCTCCTTCTCCTTTTGAGGTAGAAGAGGCTTCAAACTTACCACTGTCACCTCCACCTTATTCCTATGATCCAAATGGCAGTGATCTTCCTCAAGGTAAGTAGATTGAGACTTGGTCAAGATTATTGAGTTCTGAGGTTTTTTACTTTCATTTTTGAACAGATCTCTGGTTGGCCAATAGGTGGGTAAGGAACCAAATGGAAATTGACTTAAGTCATAGTGTTGTTAGGTAAGGAGAGGAAGAATTGAAAGCTGCAAGTTAAGCATATATTCTGTATAATCAAGTGGATAGTTGAGTTGATCCTACTGATTTTTTTTTTTTGGTAACTACATGTCTAAAGAGAGGATTGTCGGGACTGGGGAGATGGCTCAGTGGAATAAATGCTTCCCTAGCAAGTGCAAGGGCCTGAGTTCAATCCCTGGTTCCACCAAAAAAAAAAAAAAGAAAAAAAAAAAAAGATTGTCTTTTTCTCAACTCTTCCTTTAAAAGCATTAGTGTCAAAATTCATATTTTTAAAATTCTTTTTCACAGTCTATAAGTTTTGCAGTCTTATATATTTTAGGTAAAAACTGAATTTTATTTTTTCTTAGTTTAAACTTGTTTGGTTCACCTTTTATAAACTTGTAAAAGAAAACATCTTTAATTTGCATTGGATAGTGAGCTAAATGACCTATGTTTTGTTATAATTTAGGTATACGTAATGATCACGTTCATGGTGTGGACTTTGTATTTGTGCATGATCTTATTCTTTTTTCCCCATTTCTATCCCCTCCCTTCAAACCCCTTTCCTCTCATTGTTTATAGAGGTGTTTTCATTTTATGCTTTTCTCATTTTTTACTTCTTTCCTTTTCCCTTTCTCCCTCCCTAGATCTCCCTTTTCTTTTTGAACAGTTTCTTCTTTCACTATGTTTATTGTACAAATTCTAAATGCACTCAGCCACCAGATCTTTGACAAAAGGGCCAAACATCTTTACTCTAAGAAATGCAGCCTGTTTGTTAAATGGTGTTGGAAAAACTGGCTCTCCACATGCCGAAAACTAATGAATTTTAAAGACTTGGACAGGCTTTTAAGGGCTCTGATGTGCTTTACATTTCAGCCTTGTGCTTTTATTTTATTTGTTCAGTTTGGCAGTATTGCTCAAAAGATAAAAGTCTAGTTGAGAGTTATTTGTAACTTACATTTTTTTTTTGCGTAACCGGGGAGAGAACTCAGGCCCTTGCACTTGCCAGGGAAGCACTTATTCTACTGAGCCATCTCCCAGGCCCCACTTACATATTCTTGACTATCCCATTTTCTTGCAGCTTCTCTGAGTTTTTATCCCAGCCCCTAAGGTAGTCATCAGAATGTTTTCCAATTCTAGCCTGTTCTTTCTTAATGTAAAATTTCATTATTACATCTATGTAGTTGATACACAGATCTAGATCTGTCTTGGTCTCAGAAGTTTATTTATCTTGAGCTATTTGCTAAGCATTTTTACTGCCTGAGACCAAGTCCCAACTCACTATGGCACATTCAGCCATGAAGGCATCAGTCAGCACCCACATGATCAAGTCACCTTCCAGATACCCTGCTCTGAACACATGTAGCTTTTGGGCGACATTTTAGATCTGAATCATAACAATTATTTGTCAATTGAAGTCAAAACTTAGGAATTTTTAGCATATATATTAACTAGAGCTCGGTATTTAGTTTCTCTTTATTTTTATTTTTATTTATGTGTGTGTGTGTGTGGCCAGCTCAGCCCGCCTGGGGGCGGGGCTGGCTGGCATGTGGTGCTGGGGGATTGAACCGCGGTCCCTGATGCTTTGCTAAGCTTGTTCTAAGTAGGTGCTTTAGACCACTGAGCCATCTCACCAGCCCCATAGTTTCTCTATTTGGTGTAGAATTCACATATAATGAAATGAAAATGTAGATGAACATTAGCTGAATTTTAACAATATGGTTTTTTTTTTTTGCAATTGCCCAAATCTTTATCAAAATAATGAAATATCCTTATTTTATAAGTTTCTTTAAACCCCATTTGAGGGGATCCATTCACATTTCCGTGCAGGAAAAGCCAAGTGTAGATTTAAAAATCTGCTGTAGATTAGTTTTACCTGTTGCACAGTATATAATATGTATAGAAAGCTCAGCAAGCTCTACGTAGTATTTTTATGTTGTATCATTAGTCTATTTGCTTTTATTTCTGATTAGTATTTCATTTTATGAATATTCTACAGTTTGTGCATATGCCTATTGATAGAATCCTGGTCTGTTTCCAATTTGGGGCTGTTATGTATTAAACTGCCCCCCCAAAGTCTTAGTGAACATGTTTTAATTTTCCATAACCAAGTACCTGCCAGTGGAATTGCTGAGTCATAGAGAAGTCTATGTTTATTATTGTAAGAAACTGCCAAACATTTTTCCAAAGTTGTATCATTTTGGATCCATATTAGCATTACATGAGAATTTCAGTAGTTTTTCACCTTCCTATAATTTGGTGTTGTCCCATTTTTGCCATTTGATGACTCATAGTCACTTTAAAATAGACCCTTATTTTATAGAGCAGTTGTCTAGTCACAGAAAAATTGAGAGGAATGTGCAGTGATTTTCCATATTCATTCCATCTACCATGATATGTACATATTCTCATATATTTTCAAGATCCCCCTGCAGTGTTATATTTACTGTAGGTTTTTTTTTTTTTGTTACAGGGTATTCAGGGTCTCACTACTGGATTGAACTCGTAGTGATTCTCCTGTTTACACCTTGCAAAGTGCTAGGAGTATAGGCGTGCGCCACCATGCCCAGTCTCAATTGCCATCTTAGTGCATTCTGGGGGCGGGGCCTGCAGGGCAGGCCCGCGGATCCAACCCCCTGCCCCTGTGCTTGCTTGCAGGCACTTTAATCCGCTGAGCTACTTGGCTAGCCCCTTACTGTAATTCTCGAACTTGCCTTCACACATCATCACTCAAAGACGATAGTTCACACTTTGTACTGTACTTTTCATGAGTTTGCACAAGTATATAATGATATGTGTCCACCATTATAGTATTGTATAGTATTTTTACTACCCTAAAAATCTGTGTTCCAAGTATCCACACCACCTCCACACTGGCATCTTGTCATTCTTCCCATAATTTTGACTTTTTCCAGAATAACATATTGTTGTGATCATATAGAATGTAAACTTTTTAGGTAGTTTCTTTCACTTAGTGATATACATTTAAGGTTCTCCCATGACTTCCATGGGTTGTGAGCTTAGTTCTTTTTTAGTTTTGTTTTTGTTTTTTTACAGATACCAGGAATCAAACTCAGGACCTCACCCTTGCCAGGAAGGCACTGTGAGCTTAGCTCTTTTGAACACTAAATAATAATCCTTTGTGTTGATGTAGAAAGTTTATATATTATATAGTCATTCACCTGAAGGCTATCTTTGTCATTTAGAACCTTGGGTAGTAGTGATTAAAGCTACTCCAAACATTCAACTGCAAGTTTTCATATAGAAATACATGTTTAAATTTTGAGTAACTGTAAAATTTTTGATTGTGGAGTCAGATAATAAGACTTATGCTTAATTTTGTAAGAAACTGCCAAATTGTCTGCCAAAGAAGCTATATTATTTTGCATCCACAAGATCCATGGATGAGAATCAATGTTCCATATACATGACAACATTTTGATGTTATCAGTGTTCTATATTTTGAGCATTCTGATTGTAATGGTATCTCTTTGATTTAATCTGCCTGTCCCTTCTGACATACATTGTGTAGTATCTTTTCATATGTGTGTTTTCCATCTGTGTATCTTTTGTGTTAGGTACCTGTTATTGTCTGTGGCTTATATGTAAATCAGATTGACTTCTTACTGAGTTTTAGAGAATTTTATGTATTTTGGATAATAGAGCTTATCAGCTATATCAATTATATATCTTTGACACATATTCTCTCCCAGTCTGTAGTTTGTCTTTCATTTCTCTGATGGCATCTTTCACAAAACAGATGTTTTAGATTTTAATGACATGCACTTAATTATTGCTTTCATAGATCATATCTATGGTGCTGCATCTTAAAAAGTCATCACTAAAGTTCAGTGCAGTGGTAGGTCATGCCTGTTATCCCAGAACTCTGAGAGAATGAAGCAGAAGGATCATCAATTTGAGCCCAGACTATGCAACTTAATGACTTATTGAGACCTTGTTTCAAAATTTTTTAAAGCTCATTTTATTGGTATACTTTTGATACAATTACAGTTATGACAGGGAATTTGTACCTATACATAATTTACTTTTTTTTCTTGGTACTGGGAATCTTGGGCACTGTGCTACTGAGCTATATCTCTGGCAATTTACACAGTATATCTTGATTCTTTTTTTTTCTCCCATTTCCCTTCTCTTTCTTCAAACCTTCTTCCTTTCCTTATTTACAAAACTTTATTTTCATTTTTTCCCTTCTATTCTCTTTTTTTTCCCTTTTTCCTTATTTCTCTTTTCCCTGCCCCTTCCCATTTGAATATTTTGTTCCTACTTCCCAATGTATATCACCCATTTTGGTCCTTATTTGTCTGTTTAGTTTTTCACATGAGAGAAAAAATACAGTGTCTCAATTTAAAAAGGGGGTGGATATAGTTTAGTATCACAGCTCAGTTGTATAGTTTTGAATTATGTGTTTAAATCCATGATAAATTTGGAGCAAATTTTTCTGAAGGGTATAAAATATGTATAGATTCAGTTTATTATGTATGGATGACTACATGTTTGAGTTTTTCACATTTATTACCTGTTTGCATATTTTTTATAGAATGTTAACATTTGGCACTCTTACTGAGTTACTTGTGCTGAGTTGGAGTATTTGTTTATATATTCTAGGTACTAGTCTTTTTATCAGGATATGGTTTGTGTTTGTGTATGTTCTGCTGGTCCGTGTCATCTGTTTTCTTTATGGTGTTTTTCGATAAACAGAGTATTTTAATTGAAATCTGTTTTTTGTTTATTGCTTTCATGATCTAAGAAACTTTTGCGTACCCCAAGTTATAAAGGTAAAGTTGTTCTTTATTTTCCTCTTATGGACATCCAGTATTTCACAACTATCATTTGTAAGAAAGATTTTCTCATTGGATTACTTTAGTGTTTTGGTCAAAAATTAAATGAATATTTAGCATACTGCTCAGTTTCTGAGTTCCAATCTGTAAGGTTGGTTTTTTTCAAACCTTATACTAGTATCATACTTTTTATAAGGTTTAGTCAGGTAGTTTACCTTACATATCTGTAAGTTAGCCAACGTTTTCTTTCTGGATGATTATTTTAACTGTTCTGCCATTTTCCTTTCCATTTGATTGCCAATTTTTATTCCCTCCCCTCAGAAAACCTGGAAATTTGGATTCACGTTGAATTTATAGCCCAATTTCTAGAGAATTGCCATTTTAATGATAGTTCTTTGGAACTATGAGCATAGCATCATACTAGTCTATTTAAGCCTGATTTTGTGGTCTCACCATTTTATTTTTCATAAAGTGGTTTTCTACATCCTTTGTTAAATGTATTCCTATGTATTTGGGGTATGGGGATGTAGTAAGTAGAATATGAATTTAGTTTTCCATTGTTGCCCTCATATATAAAAACATTGATTTATACGTGTTAAACTTGGCCGATTTATTAATTTATGCTTAGCCTGGTGTGTTGTCACATGGCAGTAATCTCGGGCTTTGGGCTCTGAGGGAGCAGGTTCAACAGTTTAAGCTTAGCCTGAGGGACTTAGTGAGACCCTTTCTCAAAAAAAAGCTGGGGGTGTAGCTCAGTGCAAAATCCTGGCTTCAACCCCCAGTACTTATCCCCAAAGAATTTTCTAGGTTTTTTTTTAAACAATACGCACTGTCTCCTTCATACATTATGCCTTTACCTACCCTGAACAGTCAGAGTAGCTTAATTGTTCTTTCTGCTGAGGAGGTTGTACCACTTTGCATCTTCCTAGCTCATAAACTTTCAGTGATTTTTAAATTGCTGTAAAGCATAGCAGGTTAGTATGACATTTATGACTTAGAATCTAGCCTCTGTTACATCACAGCCTTCTTTTCTTAGTGAACTCTATGCACTTGATTTTTCTACTCCTAAATTTTTGCTGGTGTCATGAGTTTACTCAAATTCTGTCTCCATTCATTCCTCTAACTTCCTTTTAACCTCCCCCTAAACATACCCTGTGCTCTTTCTTAGTTTCTGTTTATACCTCCCAGCATCAGCAGCCACTACTCTGTATTCTGTAAACTTGCCTAGTCTAGACATTGTATATAAATGGAATCATAACAATATGTAGTCTTTTATGCCTTACTTCCTTCGCTTAGCAATTTTCAAGGTGCCATACATGCATACTGTATCAATGTTTCACTTTTTTAAAGCTGAATTTTCATTTTTACACATGTATAGATACCTAAATACCCTGCTCATATATTTATGTTTTTAGCTTGAGCATTAGACTTACAGCTTATTCCCACGTAATAGTCAAAATGCAAGCTGATGCTAGTGGTAGGGGGGATCTTGTACTGGGACTCTACCCTGGGGCCTTTCCACAGAGCTGTATTCCTAGCCTTTTTTTTTTTTTGAAACAGTTTCACTGAGTTGCTAAGTTGCCCAGGCTAGGCTTAAGCTTCAGTGCTTCTGCTTTAGTCTCCCAGAGTACTGGGGTGTACATGTGTATAGCACCACATTTGACCAAGCTAATTCTTTTACAATGATAGTAAATATATTTGTATGGGGAGATGAAAACTTTAAGAAGTGGAGTTTTCTGTGAATTCATCTCTTCGTGGGATTCAGGTTATATTGCTAATCAATAAGAATGTGGATCCCAAGTCAGTAAATATATAGAGAGAAAATACTAAGAACAAGACTGGGGCTATAGCTCAGTGGTAGAGTGTATATTTATCACATCAGACAAAGGTCCTGGTATCAGTTTCCTGCCCCTCCCTGAGACACACACTCACACACATCCCAAGAATGCTAGGAACATTTGCTCTTGCCTCATATATCTTTCATTCATTGATGTATTGGAGATTAAACCCAGGACCTTCTTACTGAGCTACCTCACCAACCCTTTTTATTTCTTTTTAATTTTTAATTTGAGAGAGGAACTAGCAAATTCACTAAGTTGCTTGTGCTGTGCTTGAACTTGCACTCCAACTGCCTCAGCTTCCTGTAGTACTAGGATTACAGGTGGTTGCCACCATACCAGGTTTCTTTACGAAATGTTTTAATTAAGTTCTATAATGTCTGGAGGAATATTATGAATTTAGGATATAATTCTCTTCGCGTTACCTTGTTATTTGTCCTTCTCATCTAAGTTCTAGTAGTGGTGGTCAACTCCTGGCTAATTAAAAACAAATGAATTGTTTCATATTGCACTAGCTGTCTTAGCGCAGGTATCACTAATCCTATCATTGATATAGCATTAAATTATACTTTAATCAGTGCTGGTAACTGAAATCCAAATGGATATTTACATTCTAGAGTTGTAATAAAAGTAAATCTTGGAATAAGCAAGAAGCAATAAAGTGCCTTTACAGATTTTTCCTGAATATTCATACTGGCATTCTTGTTGCACCTGCCTAATACTAAGAATAAAATTCATAATTAACAGCTAACCTGTGTACCAGAAAATGAACTTACATAATGATGGGTGCATGGTCATTTAGTGTAAGATAAAACTGAGGATTGTGTTAATGTGGGAAGACCGTATTTTTATCTACTTTGAGAATGCTTGAAGTGAAAACTTCTAAATGATAGTTGGGATTGCCTTTAGTCTGTCACTGAATGAATTTTTTTTTTCATTTTAGATATGAAAGTTTTACAGTACTATTTCAATCTGGGATTGCAGGTAAGAATGTTAAAACCAAATACAAATTGTTTAGAAAAATAATACTCTTGAAATTTATGACTTTATGTTTCCTACACTGGGGACTGAGCCCAGTGCCTTCACACTGAAGTATAATTTTTTTTTATTTTGAGACAGGGTCTTAATAAGTGGCTAAGTTGCCTAGACTGAGTCCAGACTTAACTAAAATCCTTCTGCCTCAGCCTCTGAGAGTGCTGGGATTATAGGCATGTTACCACCATGCCTGTCTTCTTGAACATTGAAGGTTAAGAATATGGTGGGAGTTCTAAATTTTATTTCTAAGGGATCTGTGGAAGATGAGATAGGTCAGTTTTATGCTTCAGCCTCTCAGTTCAGTTTTTCTTATTGTAAGATAGTTGTTAAATTGAAGAAAGTGGGGACTTGGATTCTTAAAGCAGCACACCTTTAGCATATAGTAGATTAGCTCTCATATTGAACGTTCTAAACCAGCCTTTCAATGAGTTACATACTCTGAATGAATGGATCATTTATCCTATTTACTTAAAATATTTTTATGACTACTCCTGAATTTGATAGGAAAATAATCAGACCAATAAAAAGATACTTAAATGGCTGTATTTTTAAACCCCTTATATGGTCATAGATATTTGCCAAACACTGCTTTTCACCACTCCTTTGAATTATGCAGGTGGATGCAAACTGGTATCTTGGTATCTCTGAAAAGTGTCTCTGGTTTGAAAAAAGAGGATGTGTCTTAAGATTTGGCAGATGATGATAAACTATACAGTGTCCTGGATAATCCCCAGATAGTTCATATCTCTAGACACTAATTTTCCTAAAGCTTCAGACATAATGTCAGGAACTGTTTTAAGTAGTTTATATCTATAAATTGAGAGTAATGGGGTAGGTTTTTGGGTTTTTTTTCAGACTATTTTTCTTAAATTGCCTTCCCTTTTGGTTATATTAGTTTATTATAGACATATGTGGAAACTTGGTTGCTTGTTCCAGAATTCTATGACATTTAAACTAACTTTTAAACCATGTGCAGTGGCACATGCTTACAATCTCAGTCGCTTGAGAGGCTGAGAAAGTATTGTAAGTTCAAGGCCAGCTTAGGCAATTTAATGGGGACACTTTCTCAAAATGAATTTATTTATTTATTTTTTTTTGCGAAACCGGGTATTGAACTCAGGCCCTTGCGCTTGCCAGGGAAGCGCTTATTCTACTGAGCCATCTCCCTGGCCCCACAAAGTGAAATTTTAAAGAACTTCTAAGGATATAGCTCAGTCATAGAGAAACCATGGTTTTGATCTTCAGTGCCCCCTTTTTTTTGAACAAAAATTCTCTTTTCCATGTCTGGTAACACACACCTATAGTCCTAGCTACTCTGGAAGCTAAGGCAGTAAAATCATACATCCAAGGCCAGCCTGGGTATTGTCTTTGTCTAAAAATTATAAACGTTGAAAATACTAGGATTTAGCTCAGTAGTAGAAATGCAGCTTTGGGTTCAACTTTACAATTGGAAAAGAGAAAAAAAAACTGGTTGAGAGCAGTGGCACATACTGTCCTCCCAGCAACTTGGAAGGCTGAAATGAGAGTGTCATTTAAACCTAGAATATGAGAGCATCTTGGCAGCATAGTGTGATCCCATCCTCAGTTTTTTTTTCTAGGTTTGACTGGGAAATACTAGGAAATGAAATATTTTAAATTAAAAGCATTAATGTTCATTTTAATACATTGAGGACCTAAGGTAGAAGAAAACCACATTCACCAATGTATTTTCATATATTTCCTTAGTTTTTGGTTTTTACTTTATAAAATGAGTTGTCCTATAAAATTTTGTATTTATTTACCTTAATGTTTTTCATTATAATATTTGACTAAATTTTTTTGCTTGTGTGGTATATAGTATATAGAATAATTCATTCACCCAGTTCCTCTATTGTTGGATATAGATATTTAGTGTGCTCAGTTGGTTTTTGTTTCAAAAAATCTACAAAGATAGCTTTGTATCCAGGTCTCTGTGCATATTTCTAATTTCTTTAGTACACTTTCCTAAAAGAATTAGTAGGTCCATATTTGAGTATAGAATATGCCAAAGACAGTAAACTATTAGAGAACATGCTTTCTAAATGGCAGATCTTACAACACCTGAAAATTATGACCTAATATATTTGAGGAACTATATACCACTTTAAGAGTAAAGAACAGTAAAGGTTAAGTGATTTTTGTTCATTTTTGTCATTTCTTTCTCCAGTGCTATCACCACAGCTGTTGGCACTCTATGGTCTATATGCCACAGATTCAGCAGCCACATGTAGAGAATTACCCAGTCTATACTGAGCCACCACCTCTGATAGACCAAACTGTTCCTCACTTGTACAGTGAGATAGGGAGAGCAGATGGTGCACAGACAGATGCACCAGTGAATGGTGAGTATGCAATGAGATTGCCAGCAAGATGAAAAATTGGCTTTTATTGTGTAGGATTTAATTATTGGTCTTTAAATGTTTCAGTAGATCCATATACTTAACACCTGCTGTTCTGAACACATATGTGGACTCTTCGGGCTACCTGTCAGCCTCTCAGGAGATTCATGAGGCCAAAAGTATTCACACTAATACTAACATTTTGTTTGTCTCTTTCACTGTGTGTCACATTTGTATTCAGAGTATAAAAGTCAGTGGCAGGCAAAACTTCTGGCCTCTTACTACATATATCAAAGCATTACCATCAAATGTGCTAGTGAGCAGTCTTTTTCATCAACATGTTATTGGTACAAAACGCCAATGTTCTTATTTTTACTAAATCTCTGTCACAAAATGGGAACTATTCATAAAATACTTGTATACTGAGTAAATATGATTACCTTAAGGAAAAAGACTTGGCAGTATTGATTTATTAGATAGCTGACTTTTTCATGAATCACATTTTTAACTGGTAGTTCAGACTGGGTTAATCTGGTTGACAGTTTTTAGGGTTTTTTTTGGACATTTTTTCAAACAAAGCCTTTCATTTAAAGGAAAACAATGTTTTTGTTGTCAAAGAAAATTCCAATTTTCAAATGGAAAAGAAAGTTTTGGGAAACTTGGATCTGACATCATGTACCTGACCGCTTTCCAGTAATTAATCCTTCTAAACCTTCTAATATAACTGGAACTATTAGTGAATGTATTTTCCCAAATTGTGAAATGAGATGTGTTCACATCAGGGAGCTCTATATACCTCAGGGAAATAATAGCTTCCCAGTTACAAATGCAGGATGTTGTGCCTGATTTTTCATAGCCAAAGTGAAAGGTAAAACAATGGATTATAATATAACAACATGAAAATTGCACATTGATACTTTGAGAAACTATGTACTTGAGATCCAGCATCAGAGAATATCTAAAATTACATGAAATTTCTTGTTATTAAAAGACTTCTCTTTCCAAGCTATACATTTATGTGAGCAAAGGGTTCTTCATATACTTCAGCATACAATAGATTAAGTGCACAATCATATGAGAAGCTGCCTGGTTTCTGTTAAGCCATACAGTAGAAATTTTCACTAGAATAATGACAGTTTTATGTTGGAGAATTTTTTACATAATTGCATTTTTGTTAACATGAAATTGACTTAGATAAATTAGTAAATATGTGAAAACGTTCTTGTTTAAATTCCTAGTACAATAAATATTCATATCTGTTGCCCCAATAGAAGCTATTTGGGATTTTCAATTTTTAAAAGTATAAATTGATGCTGAGATCAAATTGAGAGCCAGTATATTAGACTATTAGTATCATTGTTTTATATGTTCAAAGTATAGTAGGCACTTTGAGGGATTTAGAATAGGATTTTTCGAGTGCCCTTCTTAGAATCGGCAAGAAGTGGAAAAAATCATGTGAATAAACCAAGTACTTTTCATACTGCATCACTCTCAATAATTGAAATCTTTTTTCTTTTAATAATTGACATCCTAGGTCACTTCCTTATGCAGGATTTTCTGTAAAGTGACTTGTGAGGGTTGTTACAAGAATTTGACACCTTATGTATATGTGTACCAGGTCTGGTACATATTGGGAATGTTGATTTATTTTACGCTTCCTTTCCTTTTTTAAAGTGTATTAATAAATTTGAAATAGTAATAGCATTAGAAAATCTTACTTATCACTAGTGTACTGGTATGGTGTGGTTTATGGTAATAAAATTTCAGCTTCCATTGCACTTTTGTATAGCATACCTTGTATACAGCTATTTTTAATTGTAGTAAATCGTGAAGCAATGGCAGTCTTAATTTTGCAGAATGAACTAAATTAGCCCAAGTAATGAAAGATTCTTTTTGTCTGATATGTATAGTCATTATAGCAACATTAGAACATACTTGTCACTGTAAAAGTGATGTAAAATTAAAATGATGCTACTATCTCAACGATATTTATGAGATGATAGTTTTAGGATGCTCTTCAAACTGTGTCTTCAAGTATAGATCACACTGTAGAGTCATTCAAATTTTTCAGTGCTCAAGTGGTACAAAATGATTGTTACATGTGGTTTTTCTAATTTAGAAGTTTCCATGTAATACTTTGGTAGCCTGGTTTAGACATTATATAACATGCTTTGCTATAGTTGCTTTGATGTTTCTGAAATTAATGATACGTAATTTTCACGTATATGAACATCCATTTATGTTGCATAGGGTTGTATTGCAGTGAATTTTTTATATAAAGTGTAATGTATATATGCTTTGTTTCAGGTACTTTTCCAAATGCTGATGCTGTACCTGTCCCTCATGGAGCAGTCTATTATCCAGTCATGTCAGATCCCTATGGGCAACCACCACTGCCAAGTTTTGATTCCTGCCTTCCTGTTGTGCCAGATTATCCCTGCATTGCACCCTGTCATCCAATTGGCACAGCATATGGTGGTTCACAGATTCCTGGTGCTATAAGTCCTGGGCCAGTTGGTTATATTACTTCGCCTCCATCTTCTCATTATGTACCTCAGAATATGTAAGATTCAACAATATGGAGTATTCTTGCACTGCCGTTTTCTACATTGGTGTTTAAGTGGTTTAGGCAGTAAGAGTCATTACTCTTGTATTTATGTCTTTAAGATTGCCCTGTCTTTTGATTCAAAATATTTCTTTAAAGGAATACTTCTTTGGGTTGTGAATGAGGAAATTAAGATGGTTGTACAACTATTCCCATACTGATCTGATCGTGTTTGATTGTGTTCAGATTTCCTGTCAACCAGCTTGTCATCTTTGTATTGATAGTGCCAGTTGAAATAAATAATACGAACGATTGCCCTGGCTCAGAAATCACACAACCTACTAAACCGTTCAAAATTGTAAGTTCCATTTTTCTGGAAAGTAAAACAACAAAATCAAGAGCCTTTGTTTCCAGAAAACTTAACATTAAATAAGAGAGCCTTTTAAGTCTCTCTCTTTTTTTTTTTTTTTTTTTTTTTTTTGTTGCTGTTGCATAGGGGATTGAACTTGGGACCTTGCCCTTGCTAGGCAGGCACTTATGTTACTGAACTATCTCCCCAGCTCTGCCAAGGTTTGTTTGTTTGTTTGTTTGTTTGTTTGTTTGTTTTGGCCAAGTTTTTAAAGAATTGTGTGACCTCAGTTGTGTTCTGTGATATTGATCAGCTTTGAAGTTCATATGGTGCTCTACTTTAGACTTATCCCATATGCTGTTGTTTAATACTGGATTTATGTAACTTTTACTGCACAGTATTGAATTGGTGTTGTTTGCACAGTTAGCAATAAATAAAAACTAGCATTTAAAATTGTCTAAAGGACTACGATGTTTTTTCTTTTTTGCTTTTTCATGGCAGCAGAGAGTGTACCAGAAATGTGATTATTTCAACATGGTTTTTCCCTGGCATTTTGGTTGCTGAAGAATGTAACTATAGCTTCAACAGGGTGGGATTGGGGTAGTTATGGGCCACTTGAAATGTTACTTGCCCTCAGGTACATACTACCATATCTAGCTTTTTTCTCCTGAGAATGGATGTGCATGGTGCTGCACACCTCAGCACTTGAGGGTCTGAAGCAGGAAGATCGCAAGTTCAAGGCCTATCTGAACAACATAGATCCTGTCTCAAAACACCCCGAAACTAACCCACAAAATAAATGTGTGAGCTCCCCATGGAAATTTTAATGTAGATTTTGTCATTTTCCTGTATTCCCGATAGTTATAATATCTTACTTTTGTTTTTTAGAATTGTTTCTCAAGACCTGGATTGTCTCTTTTCTGTGAGGCACATTTCATCAGCCCTTTTATGCCTTCTTCCTTTCATCTGTCCAGAGACCACAAGATCTGTTTTTAATCAATTATCCTCTGAGAAGTAATTTGTGCAGAATGTTTTGCCATATCTCACCTGTCAAAAATTTTTAATGCTTTTTGGTTGCCACAAAACATATTTATGACTATGATTTTATTATTGCTGTACAGTGATAACCTTGATTCTTGAACACTTTTGTTTATACACTGTATTGGGTTACAAGACCAAGAACATCTTTCCCACACTAACACAGATTAGCCATCTTTTCCAAAATCATAGAACAAATTTATAAGTTCATAAACTGAGGTACCACTTACATACCTGTGAATTAGTGCTTTCACCCCTGCAGTCACACACTAGGCAAAAATAACTCTGAGACACTGGGCCTCGCATTTGAGCAATACTGTGGTGATGTAGAATCCATCGCGAAGAACCTATCTGCTCTTCAGTGTGCTGTTCTCAAAGTGGTTCATATTAATAAGTCTTGCAATCTGGTAATTGATAACTTTGGTAAGGAAAGATCAGATGGTAGTGTATGACCCCTTACAGCAACCTAAAACTTTTACCTGTTCCTCTGCAAACCTCTTGGTTTAATTTCAACAGCCCACAGTCAAGCTTATGACATGGAGCAACCCTTCTTTACCATTTTTTAATGTGCTATCACTTATAAAGTATATGTAATTTACAGCAAGTGAGGTTTACTAACTTATGAGGGGCTATTTTAGAAGGTCATTCTTGAGAATAAGGGTGTGGACTTTTGTTGGTTTTGAGACAGGTAACTTCTGTCTCGGGTTTCCAGTTTGTTTCTATTTCAAACTTGTAGGTTGCTACCTTCCCTTAAATTTGATTACCAGATCAGATTTAACTAGGTTATCATGAACTTTCAACTCAAATCAAGTGTGTATACTAAGTTGACCTAACAGTTGCTAAGTGAATCTATAGTATTTATCATTTATTTAAATCAGACAAGTGCAAGCTCCTTTGTTTGCTGCTCTAGTAGGAGTAGGAGTAAGTCCTTGCCCTCCTGTTTTGGGTGGAGTGGGGAAGAGCTGGGGTATGAACTCCTTTGATGTATATGACTAGTGGTTCTTGTTAGCAGCTGCCAGATGTAGGCTTTCTAGAAATTTATGAAATCCAAAGAGAAAATTGTAGTCAGCTTGTAGCAAAAATACTGGTAGGTGTCTTCATTTTACATATTGCCTCCACTTGTCCCTCAAATGGCAAAGATACACTGTTTTTCCTCTATTGGTAACCAAATTGCATCCAATTAAAATTGTTGACAGAAGGAGATGCAAAGGGACTCATTACTCCCCCTTTGTTGATACAGTTTGGTTATACTAAAGGTAGAAAAATGGTTAACATCTATAGCAAGGAAAAGGAATTGGACTTCACTTTTATGCTGTGTGTAATCCAAAACCAGTATGGGCTTTCTGTCTTGATTAAAAACAGATAAAACACTGAGTTTTATGGTTAAAATTCATCTTTCATTTCCTTGGGGCCTGTAATCAAGGCATAACCTTTAGAAAATAGCTTTGGAAATAAATATAAAGATTTTTTAAATGTAACCAGAGATTTAAAAATCTGATTCAGGTACAGATTTTCAAATGTACCAAAATAGTCCATTCGAGAGGGGGGCATGAATGAATTTAAACTTCTAAACCAGAGACAAGTTTAGTCTCTTACATGAAATCTATAAGAGAGCTAAATAACAAATGCCTCTTTGCAGTTTATTCTATGTAGAATATTAAATTTCAGTAGCAGCAACTTGGTTTAGAATGTTTTGCGTCTAGATAAATTATCAAAGGCAGTTTTCCCCTATAATACTCTTCAGAGATGTGGGGAATTTCACTTTGGGAAAAGATCCATTTAAGTTTAGACAACTGGGCTGGCCAGATAGCTCAGTGGACTGAAGCACCTGTTAAGGGAGAGTGCAGTGGTACCAGGCCAGGGAACACTTAGCGATTGAGACTGGGTGCTGTGGCGCTGTGGCACATGCCTGTAATCCCAGCACTTGGGAGGCTGAACACAGGCAGATCACTATGAGTCTGATTTGTATAGTGAGACCCTGTACTAAATAATAATTAAAAAAAGACAGCTATTTAACTGTGTTGCTAAAACTGCTTTCATTTAGAATAGTTACTCTGGAAATTGCTTCAAAATCTAGGCAAAAAGTTTATATATAAAAGATTAGCATCATGTCACTGTAAACCATTGAAACTAGGAGCTCTTAAGGCATTCTGTTATATTTGTGTTTGAAATGTTTCACGGTAAAAAAATACCTTGGTAATTGGCCATGGGGAGAAGAGATGCTTACAAAGTTAGAGTTCAGGTCTTGAATCGTGAAAAAAAAATTCAAGGTTTTGCATAAGCTATCACATAAAGCCCATAGATTCACTATTAAGACATCTAAAAGGGTGGGGGAAGCCTGGAGAGTAGGAAATGAATTTTATGAAATTCTGTAGTTCTTAACAACATTCACTATGTCTAAAACTTTATTGAATTCATTATACTCATTAGTAATTGAAACTAACTGGAATGAGCCATGTCAAGTTTACAGTTTCCATTGTTTTCCCAATAATCACCAGTGTGTTTAAATTCATTTTTATTGGTGCCAGAGTGGATCTTGAAAACCAGAATATCCTCGACTCTTGAGCGATTATTTCCCTGGTAGGTGGTTCTTGTCACTGTCTAGACCTTTTATAAAGAGTGTTTCAACAATATTGAAGCTAAATTCAATCCCTTCTTAGGAATTCAATTCAGTCAGTGACTAAAAACATTAAGACATATCCTGGCCAAACATTAGATAATAGTATTTGGTTTATTAGTCTTACATGCTTGATTAGTCCTTTCACGTAATTTACCAAGCCTCTCTTACAGACCTTACTGCATATAAAATGCAGTTTTCTCAAATTGTTTGCAGAATTGTAGAAAAAACTCATAGCACCAGGGTACTAAAGTACTAGAAATGAAGAAGCTGATAGCTTGTTCTGGCACATGAGCTACCTCAAAATGAAAATGTTTATGTTAGTAAGTTGTTTAGTATTCAGTTGTGCTGCTTGCTTCAATAGTTGTACTTTTCTTTTTATCACTGGTGACATTACTTGAAGTACCCAAGAAGTTTTCCTGGTTACTTTGAAGCATGGCATAGATTAAGCTTTTGTTTAACTTAGTTCCTTTCCTGTACTCACTGCTAATTTTTTCTAGTATTTTATTAAAGATTTTAAACATACAGAAAAGTTGAAAGAAATGTGCGAAGAACAACCATATTTACCACCTAGATTCAACAATGAATCACTGCTTGCTTTTTCACAGATCAACCTATAAGTCCTTATTCTTGAATTTTAAAATTACTGACTTAATATAGTTGACTCCTAAGCATTGTGGCATGCATATTGTCAACTAAGGTTCAATATTTGAACTTGAGCTTTTTGTTTGAGGTCAAGTTCTCATGCAGTATAGTACACAAATGATAAGTGTTGGGTGCTATTTATGTTGACAAACTGTACACCTTTGAAGGCCAAAGCTTCATCAAGTTTATCACTTCCTCAAAGCCTCCATATTCCTTCCCAGCCAATTTGTGTTTTTACCCTCCTCCCCCATTCAACTGCTGATTTTTCTGATATCACCTCCAGCATAAATTAGTTTTCATTTTAAAAAAATGTATACATGAATCAAAATTGATTTGGGAGTAAGGTTTCTTTTGGGGATTTGTCCATGAGTGTTGATACAACATAATTTATCCAAATTACTCTCTTAATAGACTTTTGGATCCTTTTCGATTTTTAGAGATTGTAATGAACAAAAGTATGAGCATTTTTCCAGAAGTCTGTGTCATATGAACACTTACTTGTATTCCTCTTGGAATAAAGAATTGTTGGGTCATAGGTTAGATGTGTGTTTAATTTCATAAGAAACAACTGACATCTTCCCGAAGTGATTATCGTTTTATACTTCTGTCAACAATATAGAAAATTCTATCAGCATGATTGTATCAAGTTTTTTTAAAATTAGCTTAGTGTGTAGAAAAAACACACTGATTTCAATTTGCATTTTCCTGATTATTTTTCATAATGAACATTTTTCTCATGTGTTCATTAGTTGTGTGTATGCCTTTGTGAAATATAGTCAGCACATTTGCATAAATTCCCTCATAGGAGTACTTT